TTACCTTAGGTAACCTTTGAATTTCAGGTTTGTTGGTTTGTTGCTGTTTCTGAAATCTTGCCTCTTTTATTAGTTTAGTATTGTATATAAAGTTAAGTATTGTCTGGAAAGCAGCACTCCTAACGTATATAGACCCTATAAAAAGATTTCTCAACAAAATTGCCCTCTCAGTGGCAAAGAAAATTGCAGTGGAAGACACATTATTGTGTAGTCATATCAGAGGCTTGGATCTGTGGAGAGTCTCATTCCACTGTCCTCCAGCTTTTCCTTATAAACCAAAATGGCTTACAAATGTCATCCACAATAGTCCAATAAAGATTAGGAACAGAACACCGTCCTTACATTGATGAGATAAGGAAGATTTAACTGCAGAATGCAGTGTCTAAGAACAGTTCATAAGGCTGGTTCTCCAGTCAGAAAAATAGAATTCAAATTATATCTGTGTGTGTCTAGAATTTAATTGAGATGATCAGTTTATTTTCTACATAATGTTTGATCAGATTCCTGTACTGTAGAGCTGGATAAAAGGAAAAGAAAGAGAACAAATTCTATCAGGGAAATCAAGGAGATCCGTTATCTACGGGGTGTGCAAAGTCTGTCAGGAAATAATTCTACTCTGAGCAATGAGAATGCCCAGTTAATAAAAAAAGATCAGCCGCTCGCTAAGAGAAAATAATTGTCTGTATCTATATTTTTCAAAGCAAAAAGGCAGTCACATCTTACACTAAATAGGACACATTAAAATAAGCTTTAATAATCTTTATGCAGGAGGAAACTAATCCGTTTTCAGATCATACGATCCACAGCAATAAAAGGCAATCATCAAACTAAAAACAATTTTAGAAATGGCTGCAGACTCTCATTTAATTAACATGCAACAGATCATATATTTATGAGGAAGTCAAAATATTTAGGAATCCTATAATCCTGTAAGCCTTAATGTGGTATAAAAACAACAAATAAATGCAAAGTGTTACTGTTACACATGCCTGCCTGATCAATGGTTTTCACATATTGATCTATAAATGGAGTTGACAGTCTGTGTTGGCTGCACATTTTCCAAGCAGCGCTATTTTTGCACAAAACCAATACGGGCAATTACCTTTGTTTGAGATGCCAAGTCTTATCAATTCAATGTGATTTAGTGTCATTTTAATTAAATATCAGGATCCACTTCAGGACAATTTATACAAACAAAGCCTCAAACCTAACTATAAGCCTGATTTGAAGTAAACATGGACAAGCCCCACAATCTCATAATATTTCTCAAAAACTCTGCTAAACAGAAGGCTTATATTTTTAGTAGCAATTTTTATGTCTGCCTTTTTGGCTAGCCACAACTTTGGCAAGTATCCTATAATCACAGAAGTCAGAAACAAAAGAAAATTGTTTCCTCTTTTTCCTGATAATATATTAGAAAGAAAAATGAACAAACACAGTCTGCTAAAGGAAGTAAAAGGAGTCTTGCACGTCAAGGTTTAGGAAACAACGCTAGACCTAAGTCTTTATCTGAACTCCAGTAAAAAGCAACCTTCCTGTTCATGACGGCCGTGGATGAAGTCATGCCCTTCTGTGGTTTTTACAGGATGGAAATGGTGAATATTCATACATGTTGCTGCTTAAGACACCAGCATAAAATGCCAAAACCATTCCTGTCTATAAATTCTGCAGCTTCCTGATTTGGGCTGTGTAGACTCCTCATTAATATCTATTCCGAACTGTAAAGTAGGAGGGAGTGAGCGTCCTCGCGTATCTAACACCAAAACCACATGGAACCTTCCGCATTAGCTCTTCGCTGGATTGCATCGTCTCCTTTTCAGGGCAGACACAGGCACAGTTTACTTGCCCCCCTAGACTCACACTCAGCCTTCTGCTTTTTTCTGTTTAGCACATCCTGGTAAATAAGCTGTCCACTGTTAAGAGGTCTCACTCTGGTGCTCAGACGGAGATTACAAATCACTGAGATCGAAGAGCCTTCCTTCCCCACCAAGTGGAGCTCTCCAGGTCTCTCTTACAGATGGACAATATTTTTGCAAGCCACATCCCCCTTTCTGAATTTACCACCCCTCCAATATTTCCCAGGTATCAAAAAAGCATCTCTGAATTTTATAAAGCCACTGCTTTTATTAAATCAAATAAAAACAATTATTGGGTTTCAAGGAAAATGATGTCCATCACCAGTCAGATACTAATGGAGTATTGATAACCTGTTTTACGTAAATGCTTTCCTGCAACAGTTGGGTCATCAACATTTCTAATTTAACAAGTAAATTCACCTGTATTTACTTAGGTTTGCATTGGACAAATGTTTGTATTGGCATTTCAAAGTACTCCCTGAGTTAAGATGCTAAGAATAGATGCTTTGAACACGCATAGTAGCATTTTACACTGTGTTCTAAGTTCACAGTCATATCAGAAATATTTTAATTGAACAAAATAAAAAAGAGGAGTTTATGAATTAGTGACAAAATAATATAAGTGACTTGACCCTAGGACATTTTATCATTTTGTAATAAATTAAATCATGATGAATGTAATAATGGATTCCTGTGTCATTCCATAGTCCAGTGAGTCCATATTAGATATGCCTAATTGTTATAGTAGTTTATGAGGAGCATAGACGTGCCATATTTATAATATTAAGTAGGATGTATAACATCTGATCTCTTAAGTGCTCTTAGATTTTTCTGCATAGATATCACACGTGCCTCTGCTACAGCAAACCCTGCTGCCTGCCTGTGTACTCAGGTGTACATTGTTGGTTTACATGTCTTCCCAGTTCCCCTAAATTCAAAATCTCCCCCTTGACCTCACCCCACCATCCAACTTCTGCAAAATCAAGTTCTTAGTTTAGCTTGAGCAGATAACTTTAACAGGCTTGTTTGAATAAATATGCCAAAATACTTTACATTCTGTCAGTATCTAGTCAGAAAATTGTGCATGGAAAAAAGAGATGAAAAGAACTGAGACAGAAAGAAAATTAGTGCCATGGCAAGCTTTCAATATAGTGTCTCTGAGCCAAGTTTTTTTGGTGAAATGACACATCCTCACTAAAATACCCTTTTTATATAATTATGCACTGAGCACACATAACCAAAAGTAACTTTTATTTTTGTTCCTTATCGAGGAATACATATTGCCCAGGCTAAGAATGCGGAAACAAAAGCTGGGATAATTATAGCTAATTTAACTTTGGAATACTCTTATTCTGTAGCAGTCCAGCATACAACCCCCCAAACTAAAGTTATGTAACAAGGTAATATCAACAATGAGAAACTGCATGATAAAATCCTGCCCAAAAGTGAAAAATGCTAATTTTGTCTCATTTAGCAGCTGGATACAGAAATGCTCATTAGTTTTAAGAGGGTTAATCCTTTTAACTTTTGCATATTGATATGCCAATTATGCCTAATTGTACAAGAGGCATCAGTCAAGGTAATAGTGCATAAACACATGAAAGTTATTAAGTACATCCCAACATGTAATAAAGTAGGTGTTAATTGGTAGCTGAGTTCTGCGGGCTATTGAGGTGGATAATTCATTGAGAGATGGATCACTTGTAATTTCTCTCCATAATTCCTTTTGCAGTCTCATGCTGTGATGTTTTCATGCTTGTCAAAAACAACTGCGGCATAGTGCCTTTTGTTAAACACAGCCAATAAAATATGTTAGGCATCATTAAATATACTTAACTTTTAAACTTTTTCAAAGGTACAGTTCTTACTGATAATACATTATAGAGATTCCAATAATTGACTCTAACCACTGTCTCAAGTTCAGAGTAGAGAAACATTTCAGCTGATTGAAAAGCCAAGTCAGGGTAGCAGGCTTGTACCTCCCAGCAGACAATACTTAGAGAATGAGAAAGTAAATAAGGAAAATGCATATCTCGTTAGTTACCTTATCTAAGAAGGCATTTCTCATTCCTCTAACACAATCACTGGTTTCCTCATGCTAAATTTGTCTATAACATGTGAAGAAACGAATAATTAAAATCACCTATTTCACAAGCTCCTGAAATTGCTGTGGGTTCGTTTTTTGAGTTAAAAATGAGGAGTAAATATAATGGGTAACACGCTACTCAGCAAGTTTCTCTCATTTAATAACTCAGTTAGGGAGCTGAATATTTCATAGGCCCCCACGATATTAACAGAACACTCAATTAATAGCTCACATGTTTCTGCAGGGTGACTGGGACTCAGCCTGTCCCCAGCTAACCTATTTCTCGCTCTTGCTCTCACTGTGAGAAACAAAATAGATCTGGGGTCCAAAAGAGTGGCTAACATTGCATAAATAATTTTGTAACATCCTATGGCCTCAGCTGCAAGTTACCACCATTATGGAAGAAAATTAACCAGAGGAGACTCATCGCAATCAGTGGGTTTAGTGGCTCAGGATGCGTGCAGGGCCAGCGACACAATTGGCAGTAGAGTTCATCTCTAACTATTTTATTTCAAATCTTCCTAATGACACATTATCGAGACAAAATGGCTTCCTCTCCAAACCTTAAATAGCCACACCATTTCAATCGTTTCAGCCTCCTCCAAATCAAATCCTAATTATCCTATCTTATATTATTGAAAGATTTTAAGGAAGAGATTTTCACATTTTTTAAGACTTTTTTCCCCCTCTAATTCATTCTTAGCTAATTTTAGCCTCTGGCTTTTCAAAGTGATGTACTGTATTTGGAAGTACAAACACCACATGCTAGCATAACCTCATTATTTTTATGACACTGAAGCATGATAGTAGAGGCCCTTAAAATGAGTCAAAGGTGCTCTTCAGTCTAGCTCCAAATCCACTTTATCACTCTGGATTAAGCCCAGCTCTTCTCTTGCAACTGGGGATATTATTATGACTATAAGTAGGCAAGATAAAATGCATTACAACAACATTTTCTCATGCACATTAGGAAAACAAATAAAACAGGCCTAATTAGTTTTTTTAAAACAAAATTCTGCATGATCGGGAACTTGGTATATTTGGGGTTTTTGACTTACAGGTTCAGTGACCTTCCCAACGTCAGTGAGGATCATGGATTTACTCTGGCTGAGCCTATCGTGGTTGCTGTTGGCATTTTTGATTCTCATTTGCACAGCTCCTGTGCCTTGGCGGGTGGAATTCACTGTTTCCACAGAGGTATCAGAATTTGTAGATTTCTGCATATTACAGTGTTAACCTGATAAAATAAAAAAAGTTATGTTATTCTAAATAAAACATGCTTTTCCAGGAAAAACTCTTGGTGGAGTGAATATCTCTATTAATTCTTAGGATATTAAAATTAAATAGAGAAAAGAGTCTTCAGCTATTTGAGCAGTGAAGGAAAAAGTAATTATTTGGTAGGTTATTTTGTCAGTTGGGACCTCTATATTTGGACAGTACTATGCATGACCAAGCACTTCTGAAGTTTATAGGGAACACATCCATAATGTGTGTATTTCCTAATTCTATTAAGAAACTCCTAACAGCCAAGAAAGAAAGTCATCTTTAGAAAGAAATGATGCAGCCAACCAATAGTCTTTAGGATTGCCAACCAATCCTTTCCTCATTCACAATACTTCACTGATATATTTCCCACTCTAACTCTACCTGCTAACCACCAGCACCCTTTCTTAGTAAACAAAAACTTATATGAATAACGTCAAATTTAAGTGAGTAGAATTAGTGGCAGAGCAAAATGAATAGATCCATAGCTCCCATGTTCACTCATAATGTCCACAAGGGCAAATTAAAATTCCTTCATCAACTGCCATCTGCCAATTGAACTAGATTTGTTAGTATAGTTGGACATAAAATGTATAAAAAAATAAGAAGAAAGAGAAAATCAGCATCATTTACTTATTTTAATAGAACAGGTCTGGTTTAGGTAAGAAAATTCAGTGTGGACATTTTAAAGAAACAAAAGTAAGGAAAAAGGAATTTTGAAAAAAGAGAACTAAACTGTGGCAGCATCGGAAGGAGTGTTCGCAAAGCTTTAGCTGCCCTCCCAAATCCATAATCGTCTTCAACTGCCTCTCCCCCAAGTCCTTCAAGTGAACTCATTACAAAAAGAATGGTTGTGATGCAAACACAGCTTCTAAACTTCTGGAAACAGAACTGCTTCTAGCCTGACTGCTGTCTCTGAGCCTTACCTATGCAGACATCCCCTAGTGGGCACTAAGCATGTACAGTCAACAAAATTGTGACTGGTCAACTATGGAAGCCAATGATCCAAAAGAAGAATCAAATTTGGAGGAGCCAACTCTATAGGTTCCCTTATAGTTGTTGGACAGATAATGGTGCTAGAATCATCGTAATGGTCAAGCCAAGTGGACAGCAAAGTGAATAGAAAAGAAATAGAAGGAAAATTGTTACTTTGTAATTAATACCAGCAAGGCATTTAAATGACAACTGAGAAAAGAAGTTAATATTATTTATTATATTCTAAGCAAAGTACTCAAGGGTAGATCCTTACAAAAATTCTATGAAATAGACATTTAAACCCATAATTTTGTAGAAGGGGGAAAAATGAGTATATAAGAGATGAATATTTTTTCCAAAAATATTGGCAGAATGAGGTAGAGAAGCATGTACTTGATTGCAAAAGAAAGACCCATATGTCCATTAACAGGTGAACAAATTTTGTTTATCTACACAATGAAAACAAGATGCAATAAAAAGGAATAGAACTATTGATGCATATAACTACATAGATAAATTGAAAATTCATTCTGCTGAGTGAAAGAAGCTAATCAAAGAAAGAATACCTATTACATAATTATAATTACAATCAAAGAAAGAAGACCTATTACACAATATAACATTCTTAAAAATGCACCCTGACACAATAGTGACAGAAAGCTGGCTGATTAGGTTGGAGGCAAAGATGGATTACACCTAATACGAGGAAACTTTGGGGGGTGGTGGATATGTTTGTTATCTTGATTGTGGTGATAGTTTCACAAGCATTGCACATATTCAAAATAAACAAATTGTACACTTTTTTGTGCTTTAAGGTACTTTGGTAATAACTCACAAAGTTGTTTACAGTAATTTCTTAACCAATATGTTTTGCTCTTATTTTCATTTTTTATGTGCCTACATAAATAATGTAGTATACAAATTATCTAATTGAGAATAAAAAAGTTACTTTAATAAGTATGAAGTAAAAATTTGAGATGTATATAAAAAAAGAAATATGTCTTTTTCTAGAAACATCTTTCTTCTCTGAGTCCTCCCCTGAGAGCTTCCAAGGCTTTATCTTCCTTATTACTGAGTAGATCCAAACTCTAAGGATGGCGCATTTGTAATACTGGTGGGAGAAACCATTTAGGCTGAAGTTCCATGTACCATCTTCTGATCAAGAATGTCACATCACCGTATTTACACAGCCCAGCCCTATGTCATTTATAGGACATGTTGCTTCCTCTGAAGCTGCACAAATTTTAGCATCAAATCAAAATTTGCATTCCTGTATTGATTTCACAATCAACCCATAATTTGCCCAGTGATGTGTTACTGTCAAAAGGCTAGATTACATTAAAAGCCTCTTCACTGGCTTCCCCGCCCAGGGACAGCCTGCAGAAAACATTTTCAGCATTGTCCTTCTTCAGATCTTCCCGTCAGCCTGCTCTCTCTCCCTACTCCAGTGTTAATACTATTTAATTTCCTCACTCTTTCTGTCTTCAGGCATCACTTTCTTTCCTCTGACCCCATCCTCACGTTTTGCTGGTGTCCCACAGCATTCAGATCGTTCTCTTCACTCAGCCTCCCATGTACTTTGTTAAACAGTGAGATTGACTTGATACGATTTCATAAAGGTTCTCCTATTTTGACATTTAAATTAGGGGTTTCTAGTTTTGCAGAGCACTATATTGCTCTGCAAAGAATATGAAAGAACAACTCAAAACCTTGTCTTAAAGATGCCTATCAGCAGGAAAAAAATATTTTGACATTTGTTGAGGTTCTTCTAAGCGGCAGTCACCTTCTTAGAGATTGGAGATAATCTTTATTTACCAAGTGCCCAAGGGCAACAGAGAAACAAGCAATAGTTTAGGGAAAAGGGCGTACCCAGGTGGGGAGAAGGGGAGCAATGGCACCAACTCAGGTGTGACTAAGAGGCAGAGAAAGAGAAAGTCTGCAAGAGAAGAGCTCATGATTCTGGAACTGTCAAGGCAGGATGGCCATTTCCGGCCAAAGACTCAGCAATGCCCAGGTGTGCAGCACACTGTGATGCTATGAACTAGGTATCGAGATGCATCATGAAGGAAATACAAATTACCAGGGAAGGTCAAGGGAAAAAGAAATGACGGATTTCAGGGGGAGGTAGCATTTCACCTCTCTGGGGGTGAGTCTGAGCATTTCGCTCACCGTTCTGGCTGAATTACTGGCCCAGAGCTTCTTCCCTTCTGACCCAACCAGTGCTGGGAGGAGTTGGTATTCTAGACACTCTGAGGGGGAGAATGTGCTCTTGCCTCAGTGTGCGTAACACAAAAATGTCTCCTACGGGTGAAGTGAGAATGGGGATGATTGAGAGGGAAGCAGGACCCACTGCAGGACAGAGGGAGGTGCAGGAGGGTGGAGGGAGGATGGAGGAGAATGGAAAACTGACAGGACTGAAAGGACAGCTGCACCAGCGGCTGTGGTACTTGTGAGTTGAGAGATGGCATGTTCTCATTTATCCTGCTGGGATCCTCTTGTACCAAGAAGATAGAGGTGTCTGTAGGCTGCATTTTGCAAGTTGTGTTTGGGTCCCACTTTATGCTCTTTGGGTTTTCCTCGGTCCTCTTGCCTAATCCTAACACTCTCCGCTTCTCTCCCAGGCACCCTGGAATCCTCCTCATATTTTGACTGCCAAAGCCCCCACTGCAGCAGCCACTCAGGCCTCATCTCATCCACAGTCAACTTTTCTGAAACTTCCATCATCCATTCTTCCTTAACTACATCCTTTACAAACAGACATTCTCTCAGTGAATCATTTGGACGTATATGGAAGGGGGATGATTAGACCACTTAACACAACGTTAGAAATGATTAGTCAGACTTCCCCTTAACTCCCACAGAAGCATTTACTTGAATCTCAAAACTTGAAACTCTTCTGTGCCCATGGGAGAAATATCTTAGAATAGAAGAGTGAGGATCAGCACACACTTATACCCTAAAGTAAATTCAGAGGAGGTAGCATTTGTGACGGCATTCCCTGGGATACTAACACTCAGTTCCGGCAAATGGAACCTCCTACAGTGTGAGATGTAATGACCCTGCCATGGTGGTCTTATTAATTTTTGACCTATCTTGAGTTTATGTGAAATAAGTTTCTAGGGGAACAAGCCCTACCCCAAACCTACTCAACCTCAACTCTAAAGAAACCCTCATACTACAGGTCCAACATGACTTGGCTCTCAGAGCCTAGGGGTGATTGTCTTTCCAGGATCATCTGTATCCATTTCAGGGTATACTCTGAAAGGAAATGGGGAGCTCTAATTTTGTAAGTCTTTTTGCATTCCAACAATATTTTAAACCACATCCTATTTTTCCACCTATGTTTTCATTCCTCAGTGACCCTCAATTTTCTAGATTTAGTAGATTGTAAACTCAATAATATTTGCTTATCCTTATTTCTATGCAACTTGGTTGGCATTTTTTTACAATGAGTTCTATTAATTTTAGGTTTTATTGGATCTACATGTCTCAGTATTCCCCTTGTTCTTCCTAGAACATCTTGTCCACTCATGTCCTCATTACCGTTATTATTAAATTTTGTTGGAGAAAACACCTATCCTGTGCATTTATGTTCTCACAGAAGGCGCTTGGAGCATTGGTGAATGACTGGTTCATTTTGTACGTGTCTAAGATATCCATTGATTTTACAAAGTCCCCAAGTAAACATTTCTCAGTTATAAACTGAAATGTAAATCACTTAAGACGGGCTTCAGTATTTCTCTAGACTTCCTGATTTTATGTGTGCTAAGAGAAGAGCAAAAATACATCGTGATATTGCAGTAGTTCCACTTTCAATCCTGTCTGAAAAACAGGAAGCAGTAATGAGAATGCACTTTTTAAGAGCCACACAAACGTGGGCTCTGCTGGAGTCAGTGGTATTCTGGGGCTCGATTTCCCCACTTACGCTGCAAATCCACAAGTAGGAATGAGCACGATATTTCATCTAATTGTAAATTTTATAGCTGCTCTGCCAATTAT